CAGGCAGGAAGCCTGCCTGAGGGTCCCCACTATGTTTGCGAGTCGGAGCCAGTGGCTTGGCGGGTCAGATCCAGCCTGCGGGCCATATTTTGCCTAAGCCTGCCTTATGCAGTGCTGATGGTGTTACAGAAGCTGATCTGTAGCTTCATAATGAATCTGAAACACTGTGAAATCTGGATGCCAAGTTGGAAAGCCACAGTGAAAACAAAGGGGAAGATGCTTGTGCAGCCTCAGACTTGTGTGAGGTGTATTCAAGGGATGGGAATTGCATGGAAATGTTTAAATCTCTCTCCTACTCTGACATTTCTACCCCACAGAGACAGTTGATATTTTCCCCATATAGAGCCATGATTGACATTCCTACAATAAAGGGACCAAACTGGCAATTTTCTTACAGAACAAAGCAGGTGGCAATTTTCCTTTGGAGAGACGCAAGGCTGCAGTTTCCCTAAGGAGAGGCCGCGCACTCCCAGAAAGAGCAGCATCTGACGGTTTTGCCGTGGAGAGATGCTCACCCCATCATTTTCCCCAAGGAGGGAATCATCCAACAGGATTTCCTGTTTAGATGAGGCTTTCCATGGGCAGTGTCATTGGTTGCAGCCCACATGAGAATTGAGCTGGGAGCTGATCACTGAACAGGCTTAAACAGCTCTCCTCAGCTGGCAGTTATGGGAGTGTTGAGGCATGTAAACTGATAGGCGTTAGGCACCCTGGTGCTTTTGAAAATCCCATGATGCACCTACCTGCATCATTAGGTGCCTATATAACTTTAAAATCCAGCCCCAAGTCCATCATTTTCCATGGATTGTAACATGAATTGAGGTCCCTTAGCTGTTTTGGAATTATGCTGTGAGCAGTCAATATTTCTTTCCTGCCTCCTTTCCCGGTCCTTCCACGTAATATAGAATAAGCTCCCATTGCGCAGAATACTAGGCCAACAAGGCCTCAAGGAAACAATTAACTAGCTCATTGTGAAGAAACTCCAGTGCAGGAAAAACCATTTTGACTGGACTTTCTGTGCTCTGACCTGATGGGCTCTTTGTGTCAAACCAACCCTCTCCCTTCCTCAATCTTTTCACTCTACACCTGCCCCTCCTGCCTTTTCCCTGCCCTGTGGTCTTCACGCTTCCTTCCATTTCGCTGATGCCCTTCTAACTAACCTGCCCCTAAATAATCATGGAACATTATGCACTTTGTTGCCATCCCAGTGTTCACTGTACCTGTGTGTTCCAGTCCTTCCCCCTCCCTGCCTCTGCTCTGTCTGTTTAAAGTAACAGCTTCTTGCCTGATCCTGGCCTCTTTTCACAGCACAGGAAATGTTTAGCAGTTCCTGACCTTGTCTCTCCTCTGTCTTTACTTGCTGTGATGAAACCTTTTACCTGAATGGAAATCAGTTGTCTCCAATGGGACTCCTTGTCACCTCTGTGCATTGTGCCAGATACTCTGGGACAGGTTTGAATTGGTAGTTGCCGATGGATTCACCAACGAAGCAGTTGTGGCAGCATGAAGTCAGAAACTGTGAGGCTGTGCTGAGCAGCAAAGCCTCATATGGTCTCTGGTGGTAAACTCAGTCTTCTACTTGTCCAGTTTCCCAGTCAGCATTGGTAATTTACTGTGATTGAAATGTACATGGCGAAAAGAGCCTATCAGCTCTCTTGGTGTTGGTCTTATTTATTGAGGAGTAAACCTCAGTCCTTTGAAGCTCTTGAAAAAGGATCATACTTGCGATGGGCTGAATTTCAGCGAAGGTCCAGAGTTCAGGGGTGTTTTGATTTTCATTCAGGCCTGTCTCTATATCTTTTTCTGCATTTTGCAGTGCTGGTTTTCTAGCCTGTATGAGAAGTGGCAGAGCCTGAACAGTGCTGTCGTAAGGGACCACCTTCATGTAAAGTAATTTGACCTATGCAGTTTGAATCCTTTAAAGCCCTAACACTGGACACTTCCTTTTCCCCACATGCAAATTTCCTTTGTTCTTCAGCATGGATCTGCCCTATAGAAGTCAGTGGAGACATCTGTCAAAGTAATGCTCCCCCTCCACTTTTGAGGAACCCATTTTATGGTGCCATCATCAGGGAATTCAGGAGAAGTGGATGCCTGGTCACTTCCTTGGACTGGAGATATTTAAGAACAGGTTAGATAGACATCTGTCAGGGATGGTGTAGACGGCGCTTGGTCCTGCCTTGAGGGCGGGGGGCTGGACTCGATGACCTCTTGAGGTCCCTTCCAGTCCTATTATTCTATGATTCTATGTTCTCAAGAGCGCTTTCTCCCTGGCTGTAGTTTTTCATATGACTTACTTCATACCTCTGGAATGAGGATAACCACACTCACATAGGTAAAGTCAGCACAGCATGTACTTGGCTGTTGAAGATTGGGGTAAAAGATGAACAGTAAAAAATGCAAATGTAGTGACAACAAAATAACCTGTACAAAAAGAGCATGGTGAAAAGCAATGGGGTAGATCTGGATGTTCAGCTGAGAAGGGAATTTGAGTCCCAGTATAGTAACCTGAGGAATATTCAGCTCCTGGTTAAATATATCAAAAATTTGCCTTGTTATTTTTTAACACCACCCATCATCTTGTTCATGCTGGTATTTCCCATTCATTCATAGTATTCTTCAGAAACTCTGGGCCTTTTTTGTTGTTGCTGTTTGCCGTTTTTGACATTTCTTGGTTCTACAGCATCAGCAATAATTCCTCCTTCTCGTGTGCTGTAGACTTAACACCTCCAGCCTTGACACACGCTCATATATGTACGTGCACGCTCAATGAAAATGATGCAGTCATTAACCCATAAAAAAAGCCTTACAGAGTCAGCCCACCTGGTGCAAGCAAACACGTAATTATTACACTGAAGACATGCCATGAAATTTAGATGCTCTCAGCAGACCAGCTCAGATCTTTTATTTTCTGTTGTCATTGGGGTATTGGTTTTTTATTTATTTATTTATTTATTAAAACTTGCGGGTCAGCAGAATTCCTGGTGGCGATTAAAGGAGCCCAGCTTGGATCCTGCTGTGATCTATGCCATTTCTGATTTGTAGAGAGTTCATTTATCCTGGCATTTCAGGTGATTTCTCCCCCTCCCCATCCTAATCCAGAATTCAGGAGTTTGCAGCCCAGCACTCAGATAGGGGCTAACAACATTGAACAAATGTTTGCATTCAGTATGGTGTTCTGACAGTGAAGCCCTGGCAGCACTTTTTTGTGGTTTGTGAAACTGACAGGCTAAGCCACTGATTTTCAAGTGGTGGGTCTGAACTTTAACCCGATTAGCAATGGAACAGCAGTGAAGGGGATTTTATAAAAAGAATTTCAGTGCTAAAAAAAGGACCAGGCTGGAAACTTCTCTTCAATCACAGCACAAGGGTAGCCCAGGCAGCAGCAATACAAACTTCCACCGTGTCACCCTGTCTCAACCCTAACCTGTAGGGACCACCTGTAGAGATGGAAGGACCAGACCAGATAACCCACGCAGTCCTCAGCTTTTCTGTTGATGCCCCCAACAAGGCTCTGTATGGGTATGTCTACACTACCCGGCTAGTTCGAACTAGCAGGGGAATGTAGGCATACCGCAATGGCAAATGAAGCCCGGGATTTGAATTTCCCGGGCTTCATTTGCCATTGCGGTATGCCTACATTCCCCTGCTAGTTCGAACTAGCAGGGGAATGTAGGCATACCGCAATGGCAAATGAAGCCCGGGATTTGAATTTCCCGGGCTTCATTTGCCATTGCGGTATGCCTACATTCCCCTGCTAGTTCGAACTAGCAGGGGAATGTAGGCATACCGCAATGGCAAATGAAGCCCGGGATTTGAATTTCCCGGGCTTCATTTGCCATTGCGGTATGCCTACATTCCCCTGCTAGTTCGAACTAGCCGGGTAGTGTAGACATACCCCATGTGATTGATTAATTTGTCATGTGGTTTTGAGAGAAACCATGTCCAGCGGATAGCATTCAAAACTTTAATTTTATAAATGGGACCTAAATTGCTGAAATTCATTGGTCTCCTTTCTTTATAAGGTGTTCAAACTGTGATGTATTCAGAGAGTATCAGGATTAATCTGTATGTTTGTAATAGCTACGACATCTTTGCATCTACTTCCAGTTGCTCCTCACATTCATTTTCAGTGAACAGGAATGGTGTGCACGACTTAACATTTTTGGGCCAGTGTTACTTTTTTTGATATATTGATCTCCTATGGTCCTTCTCGCTCAGGGCACTTATTGATGGTGAGGTAGCTTCAACTATGCATAGTAAAAATGCTTCAGGTATGATCATTTTGTCTACTTTATGTCAAATCTAGACCAGTTCCATTGACTCCAAACAATTTGCATCTGCTCATAGCAGAACCAGTTTTGGCCCAGCAAATTTGGTGTTCTCGACCTCTGGATTCATTCCAGCTGTGCAGTCAAAGCGATGCCTCATTTTGTAATGCTGCATTTTAATTTAGGAAATTAATAGTTGAGAGTGCATGATTTATATTATAATAACTCTGAACAGCATTGTAGGGTGCCTTGCACAGGAACGGTGAAATGCAAATAGGGAGATTGTCCTCTATAGTTTAAAACTCTCAATATTTTAATGTTGTACATTCTGATACTAGTATCATTTAGAAGAAATGTATTCTGGAGCTGGTTATTTCATAAATGTCTGTTATGGGATTTCCTGCATCTTCCTCTGAAGCACCAGGTGCTGGCCACTGTCCAAAACAGATTACTGGGTTAGATGGTCCTCAGATCTCATGTAGAATTGCTATGTACCTATCCTTTTGTTACAATACTTTCTATACTGGTACAGTCACTCATTTGCTATAAATATTGTCAAAGTAGACACATTATATCCTAGCCCAGTCCCTGATTCAAGAAAGCATATAAGCCAGTCACATACTTAATGTGCTTTCCAGAATTGGGGCCCCAGTGTACCATTGCTGTATGAAATCTTCTTTATTCAACTTACAGCATGTTTTGTGTTGCTGTTTTTCTTTTGTTCTGCAGTTTTTGAAGAGCCTGAAGACCCAAGTAACAGATCGTTTTTTTCTGAGATCATCTCCTCAATTTCTGATGTTAAATTCAGTCACAGTGGAAGGTATATCATGACCAGGGACTATCTCACCGTGAAAGTGTGGGACCTGAACATGGAGAATAGGCCTATTGAAACATACCAGGTACTTAATTTTTAAGGCTGATGGGATAAGAGACATTTGAAAACTAAATACGAACAGTTGTAGGGATTTGGAACACGTGGCAAAGCATCAGATTTCACCTTTCTGTGATGGGTGCACAAGTTTGTGATAGTAAAGGGGAGGGTAAAAACATAGAACAGACAAACCTCCCCCTGCTCCCAATGAATTTTGCCTGTGATGTCAGTGGGAACATAGCTGAGAAATATGAGCTTGAGTGATTTGATACATTATAGCCTTTTTGATTTTTTTTTCCTTTTATGTTTTTGGGTGGATTGTTGAAGGTCTAGTTTGATGAAGGTGAAGGATTGATTCTCAGGCATATTTTAGATAAGTATTAGGCAAAGTGCCCCAGTAGAGTCCAGATAACCTTCCTTAATGCAGGCTTGCACCACCCTCCGCCATAGCATAGCTGGTTCCCTTAACACACATCTGTCACTGCACTTCACTCCATTGGGGACTGGCGTCAACTTTCAAACTGTAACATGCATTTTTCAGGGGCTAGAATCTAAAATCATTGAAAGCGCCTATACAACTGAACACACTGAAATACTCTGTCCAGCTCCATTTAGCAAACACAGGAAACAGCCAATAGTCCCTTCAGTGCCTTTGTTTGAGGATGTATTAGGAAGTACCACTGCAGGAATTAACCTCACATTTGTAAGGCACAGGACTATATTGGAAAAATGCAGAACTAACAAGCAGCAAGTACATGCTAAAGGTGCAGAATCGACAAGCTGGCTATGCTTTTGGTTGAGTTTTGGACTTCAGGCTCTAGCAGAACCTCCACAAAGCATGATCTTGTTCTCATTCCGCCACCTTATGTCTTTGCTATTAGGTACATGATTATCTCCGAAGCAAACTGTGCTCACTCTATGAGAACGACTGCATCTTCGATAAATTTGAATGTGTGTGGAATGGGTCTGACAGGTGAGATGCATCATCATGAATTATAAGAGGGGATTTTTCTCTGATGGTTCCCCAAACCACACACTGTATTATTCATTCTGCCCTCAAAAGGTGCTGTCAGTTCAGGAGGATATGATTTATTTTTCTTACACAGCAGAGAGGTTGAATTCCTCTGTTAAGTGCAAAACATAATGCAAACTTAACTGCGGACTCACAACCAGCATTGTACATAACATTATTGGCTCTTTTCTCTCTTCTGCTTTGTAGTCCTTTCACGGACCTCTTTGGGGGTTACAAATGCTTGGTACATGGTTTGGAGTTCTTTTCACAAATATATGGCTAAAAACAGCAATTGGCCTAACCCAGAACCTCATGTTCAAACTCCTCCAAATTACAGCTGTTATTGAGGGGTGGAGAGGTGCTCTCAGATGCAAGTCTTTGTAGCTGAAACTATGCCTGAAGTTTTGGTACAACATCATCCAAAAATTCTGGTTCTGGTTTGGATGTGGTTGAAATCTCAGGAGACCAGTAGTTCATGTGGAAGTTTTGGCTCGAGATGACAATACAGTTTAGCCGTAAATTGCTGAAATTCTTGGTGACAGAAATTGTGTAAGATTTTTGCAGTTGTGGGCCAGAATCTTGTGCAGATTCAGCATCCTCAAAACATAAACCCAGCCTTCGTTGGTTCCAAACAATGCCTCCTTGCCCAGTCAATAGTTTAAAATGTTGGTTTGTTTTGCCTTTGATGATGGGTGAAACTCAGAATACAGGTCAGAAAAAACACATGTCAAACTATGATATCCTTATTCAGTCTCTTGTCTAGAAAAACTCACTGGCATCCCTGGGAATTCTCCTTGAATAAATTCTAAGAAAAGACTTGAGGAGATGTATGGGATTATTCAAATATGTCCAAAGCTCTTTGGTTGGATAAACTTGTTGGTCTGATTAACTCTCATATGTTCTTTTCACTTGCTTCACAGTGTCATAATGACCGGCTCCTACAACAATTTCTTTAGAATGTTTGACCGCAACACCAAGCGTGATGTAACCCTGGAGGCCTCTAGGGAAAACAGCAAACCCCGGGCCATACTCAAGCCCCGCAAAGTATGCGTTGGGGGCAAACGGAGGAAAGACGAAATTAGTGTGGACAGTCTGGACTTCAGCAAAAAGATCTTGCATACAGCTTGGCATCCTTCAGAAAATATCATTGCAGTGGCTGCAACAAATAATCTGTATATATTCCAGGACAAGGTTAACTAGGAGGACGAGTTATTTAGGAATCTCATGTACTGAATACTAGTAAACACAAGTTTTAAAATTTTTCTTTTCTTTTTCCTCCTCCCTGTTCATTTGTTTAATTATTCCTCTGCAGATAAGGTGTAGAGGCATGCAAATAGATTCCAATATCCCCTACCTCCCACTCACCTTAAAGCAACAAGTTGGCAAACCCAGTAAGTTCTGGCATCATGGTTTTGTTTGGGGTTTTTTAAGAGTTGAGAGCTAACAGATGTAATGATCTCTTCAGTAGCTGGCTCAGATTTCTGATGCTTTTATTACATCCGGTACTCTTTGGTGGTTCCTAGTGTTGTTTGGTTCTAGACGTCTGCTGGTTTAAATTGAGGTTAATACTGTAGTATGGTATTTAAAAATTCAACTAAGGTCAGAAAAGAAGGTGTGTGCGTGTGTGTGTGTATTGTTCCTAATTAAGCAATTCCAGAGTTCTTTTAGTATCATTTGAGATGTTCCATTTGCAGAATAATGTTGACCTTGCCAATGTTCTTTTAAATTTCTTTTTTATCTCCCATTTCTTTTTTCCCCCAGTGGAGACAGTAAAACAGAAAATGGAAAGATCAGATTTCCAGTGGGACAGGTTTAAAATCAGGGGGAGGGAAGAGATAGGAGGGAAAGATCAACCATACACTCTTAATCAGGGCTGCTACCTTCTGTCTTCGCGTCCCACAGAAACTCTTAAGAATTTGGCTCTGTAGATACTGTGGTGCCTTTTTTGGTATTTGACATACCTTTATAAATAATGCTTCCAAAATGCATCTGTTGCAAACCAAAATGAATCTAGGCGTTTTGCCTGCATTTCCTGTGTTTTGCTTTAGTCACTTTTAATTGTTCTGTTATAATCTCTTGCATGTCTTACTGTTCCTTTTTTTAATGTATTTATTTATTTATTTAGAATTACAAAAGCTAAGTTACTAATTTATAAATTGTAAAAAAAAAAAAAAAAAAATTACAACTACTACCACATCCTGCTGTCAGCACTGATTGCTTTGAAGAGAGGGTGTCCATGGTTCTGTGGTATAATAGTAATAAACAAGAGCTCTTCTCTTTGCATGGCAAGGCTGCCCCTAAGGATTACTCAGGTCCCTTTATCTGAACAATTGTACAATACACAAATGAAATGTTATTCCATTTTAGCTACATGGTGGTCAATGTGCTGGTCATTCTTGTGGTTTGTGAACAATGGGCAAGAGACAACAGCTGAGGATTGGCGCAGTGAAATTTACTAGATTTTTTTTAAAGGCAAAGTATACTCTTCAAAGCCTCTTTTGTAAGGCATGAGTTGGATTTCCAGCATGTCCTTCAAGACCTACCAACTCCTATACTTTATAAGAAAGACTGACTTCCACTTACTTGTGGGACTTAAATACCACAAGGAAATTACACAAAATCGCACAGCTGCTGGGGACCTTGACTTAATATCTTTGGGGCATGAGGAAGTCACTGTTGAAATACTTGGAACCAAGCTTCTAATTATTATTTAACTACTTAATTCCCTGTCAGCTGTTCATGAGATTGCTCAGGACAGAGACAGGTACGTTTGCCTTGTTTAAAGGAATGATTACAAGGAAAAATGTATGCTGGCTTATAAATTTATTACCAATAATGGCTTTCAGGAGTAACCTGGTTTTTTTTTAAATGAAATGGTTAAAAAATAGCAAGAGTAAACAAGTCATTTTTTAAAAAAATATTTCCTGTAAAGAGAGCCTGCACTCTGGCATCAGAAGTAAAATTGTCTCAAATGTGCTTTGGTGTGGTTTCACTGATTGGTGTGGTTTCTGAATGCAGCATGAAGTTAAACCTTTAATGCCAGGATTGTTCCTGTGGAGAATCAAAATCAGCTGTCACAGCCTCTGATCATGCTGTTAGACGTGCTGCTAGGCATGTCAGAAGGACTGAATAGATCCTCCTGTCTTAATGAATGTGTGGGTAATTTGGGAGGCAGGGTGGCTCAGGGCGTGGTAGTGGGAAAGGGTCTTCACCTCCGGTTTTCTGGTTGGTCTCTATCCCGTATCAATAAAGGCTTGATCTTGCCATTGACATGAGGGGTTGTATTACTGCATCAATGGGACCCACAACGGCACTGAGCAGCATAGTTACCCCAGTTGGCCTGGATCCCCAGTTGCATCCTGTGCAGAGAGCTATGCTCACGTGGCAGCCAGATAGCAGAGATGACCCTGGGTTCAAAGGGGCAGGCGGGATGTGGTGTTGGGTGGAGACAAGACCTGGCATCACAACCCCAGTGGAAGTGCAGTCTTGGAAAAGATGCCCCGCCCTCCGCTGCCAACAAATTCCCTTATGTCTAGTGGCTGCAAATTGAGGGTTAGGCAGGGAGCTGCACCACAAGCCCAGTGCAGCTAAATATAGCCGCCTTGCTTGGCTTGCTCCAGGGAATCCTGAACCAAGAGGGCATGTCAGTAGGGAAGACCAGCTAGAGAATGAGGTGAACACTGAAAAACAAGCCACCCTCAAGAAGATTTGACGGAACGACTTATCCAGCTCCTCGTGAGTTTGCTTCTGCCTTGGCATTGTCGCCGTTAACCTTTAGTAAGAGCCTTTAGTTCTGATGAAAGACAAAGCCCAGAGCACTGGGTGGCTGCCAGCACGTGGCTCCACCTGAGGCTGCTAAGACTTCTGGAAACATACAGACACATTTTCAAAAGGGTTTGCAGATGCCAAGGGCCTGATTCACCAGTATGCTGCAAAACCCACTGAAATCCATGGCAGTTGTTCCTATATAGTGATTTAGAATCGGACCCAAGTATTTGATATTGTCCCTATTCTCTCTTGCTCTCTCTCCTACAGCACTTTGTGATAAAGTTCCAGAGCTGTGACAGTCATGCCAGAGGGCTTATCAAGGGTTCTCCTTATGACATAATTGTAACTATGGGGAAAACCAATAGAGCCCGAGTCTACCTAGTGAATGGCAATTTTTAGAGAAGCTATAGAGTACAAGTCAAGGGAGATTGGTGATTTCAAAAAAGGCACAGGGTGAAAGTGGGGACTGAACAAGTGCTGTGAAGCTATTTACAGTAGCATGCAAACAGGCAGTGTCTGCCATGTCCACCCTAAGCAGCACCTACAACTACAACTATCTGTACAATATGTGCACGGTGAAACACGCAGCTTTCTGGTTTGTTTGCCTGCACTATCAAGGATGCTGTTAGCAACTGAATTTGGCGCTCACGTTCACTAGTGCAGCAAATGTTTCCCTATGGGCATTTCTCTGCACATTGTTATTTATAGCCATTTTTAGAAAGCAGGATCAATTCATGAAACTATTGGCCTGGCCCTGAGACATGCTGAATATTAGCAGCTCATATTGCCTACCGTGAGAGAGACTATCTCACCTGCAAAAGGCCCTAAAACATTGGTTCCCAAACCGGGGGACATGCCCCCTTGGAGGGAGCATGAAGAAATTCCAAGGGGGGGGGTGCAAGGTGATCCAGTCGCGTCCCCCCCCCCCCATCATTCCCTACTACCCTAAGAAAGAGCCTGCGCTGGTGCTACCTTCTGCAAAAATGGAGGTAACACCAGCTTCCTGTAGCATGGGGGAAGTCCCGCAGCTGCATGCCAGGTCTGGGTCTCAGGAAGTGCACACTGCGGTAGGGAGCAGAGAAGCTGGCGCAGTCCCAGGACTCCTACTCCCCTCCCCACGCCCCGCACAGGCAGGCAGCAGGGGGAAGGAAGTCAGGAAATGTGCTGGCTGTTTGGGAAGGGGGAAAGCAGCGCACGTGCTTCCTGAGACCCGGACCTGGTGCACAGCCGTGGGACCCCCAGGTACCAGCCAAGCTGTCCCTGTCTCCTCCCTCCACCCAGACCTCCATGAGTACCCTGCCCCCTTGCCCAGACCCCCACAAGTACCTGCTCCTCTGCCCAGGGCCCCCGCAACAACCTGCTCCAGACCCACCAGCAACCTGCCCCCTGGCCAGGCCCCCACCAGCACCCTGCCCAGGGCCCCACTTGCACCCTGCTCCTGCCCCCTGTCCAGTCACCATCAGCACCCTGCACCAGCCCCTCCCTCCTGGCCAGACACCTACCCCCAGCTTGTTCCTGTACCCTATTTTCCACCCAGATTTTGCACCCCATCGCTATCCCACTCACCGGCACACTGGATCCCCTGTCCCGCACATGGAAACCTCAATTTTTGGCCCCACCTCAGAGTGTAGAGGGGTCCACAAATTCCACTTACCCTGGAACCCCAGAAGAGTTAATCTGGCCTGAGGCCTTGAACCTCAGTCCTACCTACCATACCCCGCATGGTGCCACAGGAGGGAGGTGTCTCAGTTGGGGCCACATCAATGAGGCTTGGAGGGGTTGGTTTTTTGCATCTCACTTGTGTGACCCCTGACTGATTTTTTTTTTTGTGGGTCAGAGACCCCCTGACTCAAAACAGGTTCCCCGCCCCTCCCATAAATAAAGACAATTCTGAAACATTTGAGTTGGACATATTTTATTTAAAAATGAAGCCTGGCCAACAAGCTCCCAGTTGGGGCCAAGCCCCCATCTTGCTGCAGCATCAAAACACCCCAACCCTGAGCCTATTATACACTGGAACCCCCTGTCTTGAGCCTCTCACATACCCAGTCTTCACTACTGTTCTGTGCCCATCATACTCCTGAGCCCCTCACAGGGTCTGTCTAGACTACATGGCTCTGTCGATGGAGCCATGTAGATTAGCTTTCTAGACATAGGGAAATGAAGCGGCGATTTAAATAATCGCCGCTTCATTTACATCAAAATGGCCCCCGCGCTGTGCCGATCAGCTGTTTGGCAGCACAGCGTGGTAATCTGGATGCTCCGCAGTTGACAACGGAAGCCTTTGTTGACTGCCCCATTATGCCTCGTGGTACCCATATACCCCAACCTGAATTCCTGCACCCTCACATCCACAAGCCTGTGGCTTGCTCAGCACCCCAACCCTCCACCTGACCCAAACACTCTCCAGTTTGGAGCCCACTCCTGAGCCAGCAGCCCCTTCTCCACCTCCTCCTGCACCCAAATTTCCTCCCAGAGCTTGCACCTCTCACCCCTTCCCCCACCCAAATCCCTCATTTCCTCATTTCAAGCCTAGGATTTCCCAACTCATGAAGAAAATGCAGCATTATCCTTCATATTACATTTGTTTTGTTTCTGCTATTTCTTATGTTAAACTACATTTTTATTAAATTTTTGTGCCAAGAAAAACTATTTGCTTATTTTTAATTTTTAATTTCTATACCAAGTTTTTGTGTTTATTTTAAATTTTTAATTATGAATGAATTTTTTGTTAAAAGGGGGATTGGATGATGGTAAAGAAGAGGTGGGGAGGCATGAGGGTTTCTCAAAAATCAAAAAGGGGGTGTGATGCCAAAAAGTTTGGGAACCACTGCTCTAGAACAACCAGTGAAGGATTTGCACCATGCATTATTTTCTTTAGCTCTTGATGCATCCAGGTAAAGAGCCAGCCAGCTTGATTCTTGAATGCTTGTTGTAACCAGAGACAAGGTGGCAGGATGTTCTAGAGATGTATTAAGGAATGGCATAAGTGTGTTTCATAGGTGTTTTGTCTAATACAGTGTGAAAGACACTCGCCTGATGCACTTTGGTCTATTGGAATACCACAAAGCATGCACAAGGGCTGACAGCTTGCAATCAATACTGTGCTCGCTGATGCAGGAAGCAACATCATCGCAACCTAGCGATTACCCCACACCCCGGCCTCAGCACTAAATATCTCCAATAACAAGGCTATATGAAGTGACAAGGGCTATTATTCTTAACCCTGCAGCCTACACTCTCTGAACAACAAAGCTGCAAAATCTTCCATTGAATTTTATTAGGGAGAGATGATTCAGATCCCATCATAACCCCATCTCGGGAATTAGACAAATGCTTAATACAGCAAGATAGGAAGGAAAACAATTGATATTCCCCTTTATACAGGACTCAATATAGCATGAGCCCTAGCAGCTTGGTTGACAGGAGGTGAAATGAATTTTATTGTATTTATAATAGTGTTTTAAGGGATAAAACTTAGATTTCATTGTACCGAGGACACTCATTCAAATAAATAACTTTAGTTCTCCCAGTGGGGGTTAGTATTTTGTCCTCAATTTCTGCAGTGTAATCAATGTCGTATTTCATGGAGGCTGTATCCAGTACTAGAGGCTCAGCACGGGTAACTGATTGTTTAAAAAAAATTTGACTCTACAATATAAATGCACAATAACATTTAGAAGAGCTAAAAAACAGACCACTATGTTTGTGTCCTACGGAGGCAACATTTCTTAGTGGTTAGAGCAGTGGTCCCCCACCAGTCGATCGGGATCTACTGGTAGATCTTGGAGCCTCTGGCAAGTGATCCTGGCTGGTTTGGCCAAGAAGCTACCAAGTGCTGGCACTTCAGCTGCCCCTCCCCCCACTGCTGTGCGCCTCCTGCCTTTTGCCTTGGAGCAGCTCAAGAGAGAGGAGAGCACTGATGTCAGTGTGCCCCCTCTTCCATCCTGTTTTCTATCTCCACAGAATGGGGAGAAGGGGACAACAGGGCTTGGGATGGAGGGAGTTTGCTGGCTGCTTTTGAGAGTGGTACAGGCGCAAGGTGGGGTGAGCCTGCCTTAGCCCCACTGCACCACCACCCAGGAGCCACCTGAGGTAAGCAGTGTCCAGCTGGAGCCAGATCTGAACTCCTGCCCCAGTTATGACTCCCCTTCTGCACCCCAAGCTCCTGTCCCAGCCCCGAGCCCCCTGAACCCAAACTCCCTCCC